TCTATGTATGGCTCTATGACATTGATGAAAGTTCATTTTTGTATCTTCTATAATGGGGTTGTCTGTGTCTCTCAGCTGGCTCGCATTCAAACAGACAGTGTGGCCAGCAGACTGAAAGAGCTTTATCCAGACGTTCATCTAGAGATAGGTAAGAGAGGAAATTTTGCACAGCATAATTTGTATGGATTCCATCAACTTTACTTGTATTGCTGCATTTGTCTTGTGTCTGTCAATTAAATGCATTTTTTCTTACACACACACACACACACACACACACACACACACACACACACACACACACACACACACACACACACACACACACACACACACACACACACAACTTTTCATTTTCTTGTCCCCATGCACTCACTGCTTGTCTAAGGACAGAGAGGGATTGTGTTCTGCTGAGAATGTGTAATCTATACCACCGCTCCACTGCTGAATCCTACTGTCTCCTACTGTCTGTGTCAAAAGACATGAATGATGATGTCAGAATTGGAGCCAGTGTGCACAACTATTCATCTCTGAACCTTTTTGTGTGCATGCATTTCAGTTGCCATGTCGACAATTGGGGACAAAATCCTGGACACTGCATTATCAAAGGTAGAAATCCATCTGCGATTTTACATGTCATTATTACAGTATGTTAGGTTTTGTGGTGTCTGTAAAAAGAAATGCCTTTGAACTTTTGTGTGCTGCCCAACTTGTACAAATCCATTATAACCTATTAAATGTGTTTTCTTAGATTGGCGAAAAGAGCCTCTTCACCAAAGAGCTGGAAAATGCCCTTGAGAGAAATGAGTACGTTTAATCAAAAACTTAGGACTGTGTTAGGACGCTGATGCTAAGTATGTTCTCATCTCAGCTTTTATGAAGGTTTCCCCTTTCCAAACCCTCACTCGAAAACATAATAGACAGTACATTATTCTATAAAATGCTTTAGATTGACTTAACCTGTAATTATTATGCTTTCAGTATTATTGATATGACATTTCAAATAGAACAGTTTTGCTCATATTTACTGTATCAGCTGCTTCACCGTCTGTTCTGCTGGTTACCAACACTCTACATCAGAGGATGTGAAAGCAGTTCTTTTAGACTTGTTGATTTGTTTTGTGTAATAAACCTTAAAGGGTTAGTTCACCCAAAAATGAAAATTATGTCATTACTGACTCACCCTCATGTCGTTCCAAGCCCGTAAGACCTCCGTTCATCTTCGGAACACAGTTTAAGATATTTTAGATTTAGGCCGAGAGTTTTCTGTCCCTCCTTTGAAAATGTATACACGGTATACTGTCCTTGTCCAGAAAGGAAATAAAGACATCATCAAAGTAGTCCATGTGACATCAGTGGGTTAGTTAGAATGTTTTGAAGCATCAAATACATTTTGGTCCAAAAATAACAAAAACTATGACTTTATTAAACATTGTATTGTCTTACGGTTCTGTCCGCAGTGACGCTAGTGACGTAAGACGCTGCTGACGTGTTCTCTGGTAACCAGTAACCAGTAACCAGAGAACACGTCAGCAGCGTCTTACGTCACCATCGTCACTGCGGACTCGTGAACGCAGAGCCGGAAGAGAATACACATTTTCAATGGAGGGACAGAAAACTCTCTGACTAAATCTAAAATATCTTAAACTGTGTTCCGAAGATGAACGGAGGTCTTACGGGCTTGGAATGACATGAGGGTGAGTCATTAATGACATAATTTTCATTTTTGGGTGAACTAACCCTTTAATTAATCATGTGATAAATAACTTTTTTTTTATGGTGACACATAGCACAATGCAATAAAAGTTAGAACAACAGTTTGTGATTTTTTAAAATATATTTTATTTTATTATATTATTATTATTAATATTTTATATGTGTTTTGTTCACCACTAGAGTGGATATTGTGGTGCACTCTCTTAAGGATTTACCTACCTCATTGCCCACTGGATTCACTATTGGAGCCATTCTTCAGTAAGTACCACACACTTGACATCTGACAAATATTGTCCCAGTTAATTATTATTATTAATTATTGTGTTTCCCAGTTAATTAATAATTGAATTAAAATTAATTGATAGATTCACTCATTTAAATATTTTAATTTAATTAATAATTGAATTTAAGTTAATTTAATAAATGTTATTTATGACTTGTAATGACCAATGATCAAAACCCGTTTGAACTGTGTGTGTGATATGTTGCTCATTGTTTTGTGAAGGCGGGAAAATCCCCATGATGCAGTGGTTCTTCATCCAAAGAATGCTGGACTAACTCTGGACAACTTGCCAGAGAAGAGGTGAGCTCTGTGTTCTTTAACAATCTAGTCATGCCAAATAAAAGTGCAGACACCCATTCTAGAGAATTTGATTGATGACCCAAATAATGAAGGAAGATCAGCAGTATTCATAGCGATGGCATTTGATTTCAAAATCTGCATTCTGTCAGATGTCATGTTATGATAGCTATATGCACTTATGAAACCTTTTTTTCCCCAGTGTTATTGGCACAAGTTCACTTCGCAGAGCAGCTCAGCTGAAGAAACGATTCCCTCAACTGGAGTTTGAAAATATTGTATCCTGCACTTTCTTTTGCTTTTGAATCTCTGGATGTTTATATATTATTAATGGGAACAGCTTTATCATTGATTTTGTTAGACTGCCAGTGCCAAAGCAAGCACATATTTCCAGGGTATTTGTTATACCGGCAAGTTTCTATATACTGTATATAGCATTTTAACGGTACTAGAGTCTGTCTCCTTGACTTTACTGCTATAGAGAGGGAATCTAAACACCCGCCTAAAGAAGCTGGATGAAAAGGACGACTATGCTGCCATCATTCTGGCCGCAGCAGGGCTCAAACGGATGGGCTGGGAAAACCGAATCAGTCAAGTATGTTAGTCACGACATACATCCAATTGAAATGAATTAATGAAAAAGAAAAAATTGCAGAGCCGGGACTTCAATCCATCAGTTGTTGATAGGATGGAGGCAGATATGAATGCGTGCTTGCAGTAAATTGTAAGAAAGGCACGAAATGATTAGAGAAGTCCAGCATACATCAACAGAGAGAAGTCTGTCGTTTCACTGGAAGATCGAGTAATGACATTTTAATAAAAAAATAGTCAAAACATAAAAAAGCCAACATATGCCTGAATAGTTCTCAATAAGATCAAAACCATGCATTTAGAAAACAAAAATACATTTTAATTTCATGCTGACTTTAATGTTAAAAGTATTTTCATCTGTATAGGCCCATTTGCAAAAGTAATTTCATATAAGGCGTGATATGGGTTTATAACAAGAATGTTGTATATTATTGGGGAAAACCCATATCTACCAACCACTATTCTGAATATTGAAGGTCTCTGATGACTACAGCAGTGTTTATAGTTTTATTTATAATGCATTCATTGTAGTTGTTCTATAAATTGCAGATTCTCGGCCCTGAAGATTGCATGTATGCAGTTGGCCAGGTAAGTGTGCAAGCGTGCACAAGCATTTGTAAACTATGAAACCGCATTAGGAATTCATGCACTAGTAGCATATTGTTTCCAGTTTATACCCGTCACGCTTTGCACTTATTATTGTGTTGTTCATGTGAGAAAAGAAGCAGGTGCAAGCTCAACTGTTGTTGCACTTTATAAACATTAAAGGAAACACCTGTGTAACAATGTCAACGGTTGCAGACAAAAAAGTGCAGTTTTTTTTTGTGTATGTTGCATGAACATAAAACATAATGCTTCATTTGTAATCAGACTCCTGTGAAGCCATTGTATACATTCTGTAACTCCAGAAATGGGACACTTAACCTGCAGAACTGTTTTTATATGAAATGTCAGTCAGTAAATAACATAAAATGTGACTTATGATCAGGGAGCACTGGCAGTGGAAGTCAGAGCACAAGATAGAGACATTTTGGAAATGGTGTCTGTCCTGCACCATCCAGACACAGTGCTGAGGTGCATCTCAGAGAGAGCTTTCCTCAAGCAGCTGGTGGGTTCCCTTACATACACACATGAACTAAACTGTCATTGGATGTGGTTCATATCTAATTGACCATATTTCTGGGCATACAGCTGTGGGGTTTAAATACTGTTCATTCCTTTGTCTTGCTTTCAGGAAGGAGGCTGCAGTGTGCCTGTTGCTGTTCATACAGAAGTGAAAGGGTCCATGGTAAAGAGCATGTTTTATGCTACTTCACTCAATGTAAATGGATGGCAATACAAATCTGAATGAGTGTTGTTGACAGATTAAAATCAGCTCTTTCTTGTTGCAGTTGTATTTGACTGGAGCAGTTTATAGTTTGGATGGAGCTGATTGCTTGAAGGACACTATGCAGACGTGTGTGGAAATAGACAACAAAGTAAGGGTCAAATAAACTTCTATATACATAACCGTTCAAATGTTTGTGGTCAGTAAAACATTTTTATTCAGCAAGGATGCATTAAACTGATCAGTGACAGTAAAGACTTAAATTTGTAACAAAAAGTTTTTTTGTTTTTTTTTTAACTTTTTATTCATCAAAGAATTCTGGGAATAAAATGTATCAGTTTCCACAAATATATTAGGCAGCACAACTGTTTTCAACTTCGATAATAAGAAATGTTTCTTGAGCAGTAGATCATCATATTAGAATGATTTCTGAAGGATCATGTGACACTGAAGACTGCTGAAAATTCAGCTATGGCATCACAGGAATAAATGTCAGGAAAACATTACTAATATTTAACGGTTATTTTAAATTGTAGTCAGTTTTTTTAACGATATTACTGTTTTTACTGTATTTTGGACCAAATAAATGTAGCCTTGGTGAGCATGAGACTTTTTTTCATTAACATGTACCCCTAACCTTTGAATGGTAGTGTTTACATGATTATATAGTAAATCATTTTACAGCATTATAACCTTTATTCCAACTGGTTTCTCTCAGGTGAGTGAGAGTGCACAGGAGTGTGTACCGGTACACGTTGCAGTCACTGCCAACAATATATCATCATCAGCCCTCGATGCTGCTGAGAAACTGGGGATGGATCTGGCAAATGTTCTTCTTAATAAGGGGGCCAAAGACATTCTCACAACAGCCAGGAAACTTAATGATGCTCGATAATATATTTTTGTACATTTTGTGCACTAGTTAGTTGGGACCTAGTTTATTAAATATTTGACATGCTGTTAACTTGCTACACGGTTCACTCAACCGTATGATCTATAGCTGAATCTCCAGTTTAAATACAACCATGATTGGGTGAATATATTAAGTCTCTTCAACTACTATACCTCAGTTTTAACAATGTGACGGCACCAATTTTTCTGTCAGCTGCTAGTTCACACACAAGACACTGAAATGTCTAATGTTTTGACTGCCATCCTCTCTCAGGCACAGAATTCTGGAAGAAAATTCACGTTGGTAGTCTTCGACTTCTAATGATCAGGCTGTCTTTATCAATGAGCCACATAAACATTAGGTGCTTAAAATGGCTACCTTTTACAACTGGCCATAGTTTTTAATATAGAACTTAGTATCTAACAATTTTATAAAAATGTCTATCCTCAAAATATATGGATTTTATTACTGTGGAATTCTATAAAATTAGGCAAATCACAGTAAACATTGAGATGCTAAGACATGTTACTTCAAAAGATTGAGGTCCATGTAAGATTTCTATTGGCAAAATGTTCAATTTAAAAAGTTAGCATAGGAAAGTTTAGGTTTTTCTTTAGAACATTTAACTTATGCAATGTGTTTTAGTCATATCAAGACGCCACAATGTGCCTTTTAAACATGTAATTGAGTCAACCATAGCAAATCATTTCACCAGCAATGTTAAATGTTTTCTGTAACTATCAACATGAGAAACAATTCTGTGAATAAAGATGATCATTATAACGTTACCATTGTTGTTCACTTTTTCCGTTGATCTCAAGCGTTAACCTGTATTCTTGTTCAAAACACACACAACACAAATAGATATGTAAAAGACAATTTAATACGTAAAAAGGCATCTCGATAATACAAGTTACATCACATTCAGACACATGGAATTGGCTCTTTTCGGACGAGTTGGGTGGCCCTTAAAAGGGCCTTTGGGTTAGTTAGCTTAGGACAGCGTAGCTTTTAATACTCCTGTGACTGGGAAGATCCCTTCTTTCCAGATTTACCAGAGCTAGCAACAGCCTGGCCAGTTTTCTTGGGCAGAAGGACGGCCTGGATGTTCGGGAGAACACCACCCTGGGCGATGGTCACTCCTCCAAGCAGTTTGTTCAGTTCCTCGTCGTTACGGACGGCCAGTTGAAGATGGCGAGGAATGATACGAGTTTTCTTGTTGTCTCTTGCAGCGTTTCCCGCCAACTCGAGAATCTCAGCGGTGAGGTACTCGAGGACGGCAGCCAGGTACACGGGAGCACCAGCACCTACTCTCTCAGCATAGTTGCCTTTACGGAGGAGACGATGCACACGGCCGACGGGGAACTGAAGACCAGCACGGGAGCTGCGCGTCTTAGCCTTGGCGCGGGCTTTTCCACCGGTTTTGCCTCTTCCAGACATGTTGATGAAGATATTTCTTTTCTCCGCTTGTAGAAGAAATCAGTAAGACGTTCCTAACAGTTGCTGCAGTATTTAAGGACTGACTGAACTAGGGTTGTATAGTCCCGCCCACCATTGTGATTGGTTACGCGCAGTAAAGAACAGACCTGATTGGCGGTTAGAAGCAACCCTAGAGCGGATGTGATTTCTTATTGGCTTGAACTTGCAGTGCATAAACAGCACAAACTAACGAACCAATCCGGGTCCATCTACATGTGCGCGAACTGATTGATTCTTCTGATTGGTTCGTGTGGCTCTGGTCTGCGCCACTGCTGGTCTTTTTCTTTGTCAATCAAATTTGGGCGGTAAATTCAAACCGTCTATGACCCGCCTCCCCTCCACTCCCCTCCCCTCCCCCTCATTGTAAGAACATTTTGGGGGGAAAAAAGAAGAGGAATAGATTTTCAAAAATAATTTATTCAGAATAAATTAAACATCAAATTAACCACAATAATATAAAGGTCTGAATACCTCAAGTGGCCCACTGCCTTCATTTTAGATTGTTCGGAGTTATCATAACATTCTGGTCATATAACATTTTCAGGCTTTATGCTCCAGGAATTACACTGCAAACAAGCGCTCTGTTATTGATTCATGAACTGTGAGTTGTTGACATGTTTTTCTATTGTTATTAGTTTTGGTCTTTACAGAGCGCTGCTTATTTCAAATAAATCTGATGATAGAAGAACCAAATGCTGAAAATATGCACCGGTTGGTATAGGGATGGGGGAGGGATACGGCAAGCAAGAGAGCTATTCCTTAAAGGGACAGTTAAACCCAAAACGAGATTTGTGTTCATTTACTCACTCTCATTTTAAACTTCTAACGTTAACTTATTTCGTGCAGATAAACAGCCTCGGTCGTCATACAGTGAAAGTGCATGGTAACCGTGGCTAATGATGATACAATTTTGAGTGTGAACCATAGGTTTGGACTATTCCTCTACTACAAATTACTAGGTTACATTACTAGAAAATAATAATAATGTTCTGTTCAACACTATCATAAAAGCTATCTATTGTATTACGACAAATAAGACGTGCGAAGGCTCCTGGATAAGTTTATTGCAACTGACAATTAAATTTCAGAAGAGGAAAGGGGGTTGTATGTTAGTGGGGCCGCGTCTGTTTTGTTCAAGAAGCTATCTCTGAAAATAATAATATTAAAAAATAGATAGACTAAACATGTTTTTACCTTTTTATAATATCCCCTGAGGTTTGTTTTCACGTGGACCCTGAAAAAGCGCTTTTTTCCACTGCAGATTCAGCCTGATGTAGCTCAAGAGGTTGTAGATTTTCAATAATATGTGGAATAATTTATAAATATACACAAATGCAAAAAATTCCCCGGTAGTGTATCCCTTTTGACATATGAATGGCTCATACTTTACAACCAAAACACACAAACGTAATTTAGTGAGAAATGCCTACAGTAACCTGTGAACGTTTCCGTTTTCTAAAAAAAAAAAAAAAAAAAAACATCATTATAAAAGATTAAGCCACAATAAAAGTAAAACGTACCACTATTTGAAAACAGGGCTAAATGCTATATCAACAGCAAAACGAGAACAAAGCTCACAGCATGTCTTAGCATATAACTCTCTCAGGCTCAGGAGAAATAAACCAGCGCCGATAACAGTAAACGATACACAAACATGATTTAAAAAAACGACAGAAAAAGAGCTCCCCAGCATTGTAAACAATCAGATTAAGATTCAAAGTGCAACTGATGAAATAAAATAAATAATAAAAACAACACATAGCGACAGTGTTGGAGGGGAGGCATCAATAGTCATTGATCTATTTCGCCCCCCTGTGCTCAATAACCGCATAACACTCCCGTCCATTTTGAGTTTCTCGAATTTGTTCACCCATAATCATTCACAAAAAAGCTCCCCCCAAATTAATTAGATTAACAATGCATCCATAAATGTTCAAATCCTTTTATTTACCACATTTAATGGCGTTTTCCATCCCGAACGCTGTAATCATAGGTGAAGGATGACATTCCAGGCAGGAGAACAACAAAGCAAGGCTGGCTTCCTGGGTACAGTATGGTCTGAAGTATGACGTTACCCCATAAAGGTTGTGGAATATCAATACCTAACATAAATAACTTTTCACACTCATTTGACTGGTGCCTGCACCGTCTCTCTCTCTCTCTCTCTCTCTCTCTCTCTCTCTCTCTCTCTCTCTCTCTCTCTCTCTCTCTCTCTCTCTCTCTCTCTCTATTTATCCTTCAGTTATCTGTAGTGCTGGACCCTCCATTGGCTGTGCTCGATTTGCCCTTAGTCTTGGACGAGCGGAACGAGAAGCGTTTGATGAGACGGCGGGAGAAACTTCCAGACTTCTTGCGGCTGGTGGAGGAGCAGGAGGCTGTGGAGGAGTCATTGCCCAGGTTGGAGACATCCTCGTGGGACTGACTGAAACTGGGGTCTTTTTCTCTGTTTTTCCTTCGGAATAGTAGCTTGGTACCACTGCGGAGGAATCCCACTGAAACAGAACATGCATACACATAAATAAAAAGAAAGAAGAAATATATTATCCTTATATTGTAATCATTACTGAGTGGTGCAGGGATGACGTCAAAACTAAGACTAAAATCGCCACTGATTCCCTTGAGATTTTCCTATGGCTCTTTAAAAAAATAATAGGGCTTTTCAATTTATGAGTGAAATAAGGTCTGTGGCAAAAATAAAACTTGATGATACTTGAACGTTTTGCTCTACAACATAGATTACACACACCCATATTGTAAACGAGGATTTTGAAGCTGTTATTTTTATTTTAAAAAACATTTTTAACTAGATGTTTCTAAATGTTACTAATAAGTAACTAGATAAGAATGTTTGGAGTGTGTGTGTAATTTATGTTGTAGAGCAAAATGTTCATAAAAAAATCATAAATTGAAAAATCCCATTATAAAAAGCCATAAGAAAATCTCGAGGGAACAGGTGGCGAATTAGTCTTCCGGGTTTTGACGTCATACCTGCACCACTCTATGAGCACAAGTTGTAATTGCTGCCTAATATGTTCATTGTTGCTTAAAGGGATAGTTCATCTAAAAATTACGATTCTGTCAATCATTATACTCACCCTCATGTCGTTTCAAACCCATTAGACTTTCGCCTATCTTTCAAAACACAGAGATATTTAAATTAAATTGATTTCCGTCTGTCCATTGAAAGTCTCTTCACCACACTTCAATATGTTCATAAAATAAATCCATATGAATCAAGTGGTTTAATCTACGTTTTCTGATGGGACAATCTGTGTTTTTTTTTTGTCCGTTTACTAAATTTGAGTGTTCTCTGTAGTTTCACTGATCAATATTTATATGTGAATATTAAGCCTAAATTAAATCTGTTCATCATATAAAGTGATCATGTCTCTTCAGAAGACTTGGATTAATCCGCTCGATTCATCTTGATTTATTTTATGAATGTTTTGAGTGAAAATACTTTCAATAGACGGACAAAAATCTCTCAACTTTCAACATTAAAAATATCCTCATTTGTGTTGAGGATGAATGAGATGGGTTTGGAACGACATGAGAGCAATTGATGAAGGCATTTTAATTTTGGGGGGAACTATCCCACGTTAACTAACCACATAACGTATTATATTATAGCTGTATATTACTGCCATATTGACATTACTTTGACATACACATCTCTGGCTGATAACAAAATACTTCCTAAATTGTAACTTTTAAAACAAGCATTTTCTGGACAGCTGCTTTGAAACAATATGTATTGTGAAAAGTGCTACACATATAAACTCGAAATGAATTTCATAAAAGACATTACAGAAAAATGTACACCTTTGTGGTCTTTGAGGCTACGAGTCTCCAGCGCTCCGGTCGATCCCGTCTCTGACTCCGCGTCATCCACGGACGGTCGCTCTGACGCGTCAGACGGTGTGGTCTCGCCTCCTTCCTGATGCGCGGATGCTCCGTGGTGGTTCGGGGGTCCACTGGGAGAATGCGCCCCCTGTAGGGCTGCGTCCATGGCTGCAGCATAGCCCACTGATAAGGCTGAGTCATCCTCAGTAATGGGGACCTGTGGGAAGGACAGAAAATTAGTTTTAACATAGTGTTTCTCATGTACATGTCCTGCAGGCACAGCTGAGGAAGACAACATCTCAGCAGTGTGTTTGCAAAAGCGGCTCCGCTGTCAGCCTTTCTGTGAACCCTGTTTGGAACTTCAGACAGTGAATTTGAAACTTTAAACTTTTCGACAGCCAGGCGAGGGCCAGTATGTTCTATGAGTGATATGTGATATGAGACGACTGAGCTTGCGATGACATTTAGATTTACAAATTTATAGATTACAATGTTTAAAAGGAAGTTACCAATAGTTAAATGTGATGTTTCAGTGCTTTAGAATAGACGTTACGTTGGTCACAATTGAATCCTAGCCAAAAGGTGTCCTGATGAGTGTTACATCAACATTATGTGAAAGAAAGAGATGACAAACAAACATTACTCTGGGGGAAAAGGCTGTTCTCGTGACTGTTTCCCTAGACACTTGTCTCATTGTAACAAAGATGTTTATATGAAACTGATTAGAAATGTCTGTTTACACAATGTTCCGACTGACCTTTGACACACCAGATATGATGAGAGTGCTGCGTTTAGTAGGCGTCTTCTTGGGTACCTTACTGGCCGACTCGGTCAGCTGCCGAATGGCCGTTTCTGCTACGGGATCCAGCCCATTAGGGAGGGTGCCTTCTGCTAGGGAATAGCACACAGACACAAACACAACAGGATCACAAACTTACACCTAATTTTGTTCAAAAGGCACTGCGAAAAGAAGAATAAAACGATAAATATTAACAAAAAGTATTATAATATGGACAAACTAAAATTATTATTAAAATACATTTAATGTATAACAAATTCATAATATTAACAAAAACATCTTTTAAAAATAATATACACATAACAATATATAAATGTGTGTTACTTTATTTTGTTAACCCTAACTTTTAACTGAATACAAAATTAATTAAATACATGATTATAAAGATGTGCATACGATTTAATAAATCTATGCATTTTAATAAATGTTTTTGAAAGACGCTGCTTATGCTCACCAAGGCTGGATTTATTTGGTCATAAATACAGTAACAATAATAATATTGTGAAATATTATTACAATTTAAAATAACTTTTCTATTGTAATATATTTTAAAATGTAATTTATTTGAATATATTTTAAAATCTAATTTATTCCTGTTTTCACAAAGCTGAATTTTCAGCATCATAACTCCAGTCTAATCACATGATCCTTCAAAAAACATTCTAATATGCCGATTTGCTGCTCAAGAAAAATGTATTATGATTATCAATGTTGAAAACAGTTGTGCTGCTTAATATTTTTATGAAAACCTTTTTTGTTGTTGTTCAGGATTCTTTGATTACCAGAAAGTTCAAAGAACAGCAATAATTTGAAATAGAAATCTTTTATAACATTATAAATGTTTTTACTGTCACTTTTCGTCTATTTAATGTGTCCTTGATGAATAAAACATTTCTTTCAAATAAATAGATACATAAATAAAATCGGTAACACTTTATTTTAAGGTGCTTGTAATAAGCAGTAATTAACAGTTAATAAGACACTTATAAGACCTTATAAGACACTTATAAGACCTTATAAGATGCATATAAGATGCATATAAGCGTTAACTACTTCATATAAGGGTTAATTAAAGGTCCAGGCCCTGAAGAGATCAGGGAAACTACTCCCTGTTGGGAAGGTCAGTTTTTAAGGGCCTGGGAGTTTGTGTTAGCATTTATGTTTGTTCGGCTGTTCTAAAAGTGCAATGTATTGATACTTGAGAAATGTATGATTTAATTTTATTTATTTATTATCATTAGTTAATGCTTATATGCATCTTATATGCATCTTATAAGGTCTTATACGTGTCTTATTAACTGTTAATTACTGCTTATTACAAGCACCTTAAAATAAAGTGTTACCATAAAATCTCACTAATTCCAAACTTCTGAATGGTAGTTTGAATTATACAATTCACAGTTATTTGTATAGCGCTTTTCACAATACATTTAATTTCAAAGCAGCTTTACAGAAAAGCATGAGTCCATATTACAATTAGAGTGATCTGTTATAAGAGGTAACTGTCTATGCAGTCTATGCAGTAAACTAAAAATGTATTAGTTTAAACAATGTAACTGATTTGTAAATGAATCATCTTAAAATGCTCATCTTAATGTGGAGCTCACTGCTGGGGGTTGGACTGGCACTGGTGCTGCTCTGCAAGCTGTTTGTGAGCACACTGGGAGTCTTTTCAGTCACCTCCACCTTTGAGGGAGACCTAGACGGAGAGTCTCCTCCTGCAGTTACAGAGGAAGAAACAGGATAGGGTGAAACTGCCAAGTCACTTCTGTGGTACTGGATGATGCAGACAGAACGGCATATGTGTTCAGTATCCTGCGTAAGCTGGCCTTTACCTAGTTTGTGGTCCAGTTTAAGTCGTGACTGGATGGTGGTTACTGTGGTGACAATGGTGCCATCGGGCATGATGGTGCGGTCCACGTCCACCTTCTTCGAAGGAGTGACAGAGGACCGCAGAGGAGTCGCGTTCTGACATGCACGCAAATCACCGGACTCCAAATACAATAGCTATGGATGCAGAAACATACGATTATTAGCTTAAACAATAAACATAATTAATACTTTCATTTTGAGAAAAAAAGATGTCTGTGACAACTACTATAGTGTTAGGGGTACAGCCACAAATGTCTTCAAACAATGACAAACAATCCACATTCATATATTTCTGTGCTTAATTTGCCTATATGTTCACAAACAAACACAATGATTATACAGAGCGTTTAAATACCGTTCATGTGTAGCTGTAAGATAATGTGAGTAACAAGTACAGTATGGACTAAAGTACTAGGTTAAATAAAGAAATAATTCAGTTATCGAGTTAATCAGAGACACGGTGATTGTTCAGCTCACAAGGCAGACCACTGTAATAAGATATGTTTTCTATTAAATAATTCACATTGACATTTAGAACAGGGACTTATCAGTGTGTTCAGAAAAGTGAACACAAGGCTGATGGAAGCCTTAATCAGTAACACTGACACTCAACACTGTATTATCATGCTAAATCATGCTATCCGTATGTATACTTTATTTATGGGAATTATGTAGTGACAAATAAATAAATCCATCCATCACGATTGGAGTAAATAGGGTTAATTATATTATTTAAAAATAAATCATTTTTATTCAGCAAGGGCACATTAAATTGATCAAAAGTGACAGTAAAGTCATTTATAATGTTATATAAAAGATTTATTTTTTAAATGATTGCTGTTATTTTGAACTTTATATTCATCAATGAATCCTAAAAACTGTATCATGGTTTCCACAAAAATATTAAACTCTTTTCACAATTCTTTTCAAAAATAAGAAATGTTTCTTGAGCAGCAAATCAGCATATTAAAGTGATTTCTGAAGGATCATGTACACTTAAGACAGGAGTAATGACTGCTGAATTTTTTTACTTCTTAAAATAGAAAAGTTTTTTTAAATTGTAAACATATTTCACAATACTACTCTTTTTACTGTATTTTTGATAAAATAAATGCAGTCTTGGTGAGCATAAGCTACTTCAAAAACATTAAAAAAATCTTACCGACCCCAAACTTTTTAAATACAAAATCAATTGGAATTCCACTTTATGCTGCCCTCACCTCTAAAGTTACGATAGCAGTTGGAGCCAGACCATGACCTGGAGCGATGGACAGTTTGTGTTGTCCATTAGGAATTCTTTTAGAGAGATCCAGTGGTAAGGAAGCACGACCAGGCAGAAACTCTGTCAACCAGAAAAAAAGAAATTTGTAAAGTAAAAAAAACAAAACAACAACTCTCAAGGCAGGTATTTCATGCAATGAAAACAAAAACAGACAGAATGGAGAATATCAGTCTTAAATCATTCACTTGATCATCTGATATGTTGAAGATTTGCTCCTATAATCTTGGATAAACTATTGAATGAAAAGTGACTCACGTTCTCCTTTGCTGTTTTTCTCCACAAGTCTTACTTTGAGTTCTTTGGTTTCTGGTCCAACATCCCTAATAGATAACAACATGCTTAGATTTATCACAAGTAAATAAAGATACACACACACAAAAGCTTCCATTTTTGTAATACTGAATATTGGAGCTGAAGTGACATTTTTCTACCATTAAAAGTAACTGGATTTTAGGTTATGAAAAGGCTATATAGTATCAGTATTGTGGTTGACTAAATCTCCCCTTTGGCCCCACAGCAGTAATCTGTAATTGGTATCACAGGAAATAGTGATGTGTTGAAAATGGCTGTAATTAAATGTGCTAAATAGCTCTTTGTTTCTTTGGGAGTTGGCTGCATAAATTCACAGAGCAATTGGTGGAGCTGCTCACGGCTTTACACCTTCATTCATGACAGAAGGGCTGCCATTATAAAACAGACTTTGATGAAAACACTCCATTGTGTAAAACGGAAGTGGTGAAGTTGACCTTTAAATGTAAGGTGTTAGAAATCCCATTGGATTATCAGTCTAGTTCTGCAGCACAGAGTTTAGAAAATAAATAAATAAAAAACTACAACTTTTTAGAACAAAAATAACCTTGTGTAAAAGAACATTTCCTTGTAATCTTTCCTAAATGTCAACACCTCACTCAGAAGTTGTCATTCCACTCCATCCGTTTAGTTTCAGTCTTTATGTTGATCTATATCTGGCTTTACAATAACATAAGTGTGCTTACAGTGTAAAGTCGTCAGTCCAGTGCAGGGCTGCTCCAGGACTGGGGGAAGGAGTAAGGAAGCCAGTTCTGCATTCAATGGAAGGAGTGTCCAGACTCAGCACACAACAAAGCTCTCCTACATGACTCTGACATCCTGGTAAAGAAATCACTTATGAAAAAATAACATACACCATAAACTGCTCAAATCTAGAGTTCAGTTTATCTACATATATGATATATATATGATATATAATATATTATATATATTGAATAATGTATATATATATATATATTAATTTCTATACACACACACATATATAAATATACATTTATACTCTACCAAATATACACACCACACATATATAAACAATACCAAAAGTTTGTGGTCAGAAAGGAAATGTACACTTTTATTATGCATATAATTGATCAAAATTGACAGAAAATACATTTAAAGTGTTACAAAAGATTTCCATTTTAAATAAAAAAATGCTGTTATTTTGAATTTTCTATTCATCAAAAAAGTCTGAAAAAAGTATCAGTAAAATGTCTCCTATTGTGGTACGGGGAAAATGTCATACTGCATTAGAACAACACCAGGATTGTAATAGAGTAAATAAAGACTTCATGTTCATTTTAGGGTGAACTATCCCTTTAAAATAGAAAACAGTGATTTTAAATTGTCATATTTCACAATACAGAAACTTATTTAAAAAAAAATTTTTTAAATTTTGCCAACCCTAAACTTTAATATCTCTTGTTATGTAAAGAAAAGACCCCAAAGAAACACATCCAATTGGTGTAAAGTGAACAGAAAACCAGCCTAATTCAACAAGGCATCCTTAAAGTGATAGTTTACCCAAAATTAAATATTTGTCATTATTTACTCACCCTCATGTTGTTCCAAACCGGTATGATTTTCTTTCCTCTGCTGATCACAAAAGAAGATATTTTAAAGAATCTTGGTAACCAGATAGTTCACGGCACCCATTGACTTCCATAGTATTTTTTTTTTCACTACAATGGAAGTCAATGGGTGCCGTCAACTGTCTGGTTAGCGACATTATTCAAAAATCTTATTTTGTGTTCAACAGAAGAAAGAAACTCATACAGGTTTGGAACAACTTGAGGGTGAGCTAATGATGACAAAATTTCATTTTTGGGTGAACTATCCCTTTAAGACCAATTAGTCAACTAGTCATTCAGGCAAGTAGTTGATTTTGAAAATAGCATGGCATTTCCATAGTTCTAACAAAAAGTAAGAATTTATTTAAGAATTTTCATAATAATTTTTTTTTTTTTTAAATAATGATCTTTGTGCCGTTTAGTCAATCTGACAATCACATTTTTATACCTTTTTTGACATCAGTTGCTCTGAGTTGGTGCACCAAAATCCGCTTGACAGGCGTGCTCTGAGACGGAGAGTTCAGACCACCAATCTGCTTCTCCCTGGGAAACTATAACAATAGGGAATGGGAATGTTTTATAACATGAAATTCACGTTTTATTGAGTTTTCCTTCCTCATTGTTGTTGACCGTAATTGCATGTCTTGTATGTTTTGTACTGATAAGGATGCCATACATCCCTACATGTAATACATCAAAAGCCGCGTTTCCACCGCAATTGCCCGGAACAATTTGTCCCAGGAACTTTTTTCCCAGGAACTTTTTTTGCCCCAGACCGGTAGCTTTCTGCGTTTACATCGCGGTCTAAAGTACCGGGTAAACTGCGCGCGACGGCTCATTGCTTGCTTGTGACAGACAGTAGACTGTAAAAGACAGTAATCAGTTTTGAGCGCCACATTTATAATAAATATGGAAGAGATTCACACTGTGCTGCAGTTGTTTGAGATGTATTGGTTTACTAACCAGGTAATTAACAAAACGGCAGAAAAGAGACGAGCACTGATACTAAAGCGTGTTCAGAAAGCTCGTAATGCTAACGTTAGATCTAAAATTAGACAGCGTATGTTATCAGCTATTGCGGACATTGACCGTGAGAAGGCTGGGGCGAACGCGCAGAAAATTTCTCTTCCGCAAATACGCTTAATAAAGCCTGAATCTCGTCGTCGGTCCAGCTGCCTTTTTTTATTTTTATTAAATTCCATATTTGCAGACAGACAACTCTTACTGCATGGAACTTCATTACTGCATGAAGCCACGAACTGCAATAGATTCTAAAAATTCCGGTTAAAATAAAATGCTGCGCGGAGTTATCCATTCATAATGCGGCGTGTACACAACCAATCAGCATGTTCAGCGCACAAGCCCCACCCGCGAAAGTTCCTGAACTTTGAAAAAGTACTACCTCGCGAGCAGGGACTTTCGGAGGGGGAAATATCTACCCGGAACTTCATTTAGACCCTGGTTCCTGCGGTGTAAACACACCGAGTACCAGCCCAAAGTTCCTAGTTCCTGGGTAAAGTTCCTGCGGTGGAAACGCGGCTAAACACACCCAACCAAAACATACACAATCCACATGGATCTGTCACAGTGTTCAGTGCAGTTCCAAATTCTCACCACACACTAACTTCTACTGTATAATATAGCAATCGATACTGGTATTTTTACCGCAGGGCTTGATACACAGGCCCTCAGGTTAAGGATCATGGCAGGGTGTGTTGTGTATAGTGTGTCCTCCACCAGTGCAGCAATCATATCATTGTCCACCTCCACATCAGAGCCCTAAAGACAAAAACAAAGATTTCAGTTTATTTGCATAGCTGTAAAAATAGTTTCTTTTTGTACCATTTACAAATTGTAATACATCAAAAGCTGAAAGGAACATGACCTATGTGACCAAAATGACTCCTTTACCTCTTTCTGGACTCTTTGGCGTGATTTTACAGTTAAAGAGAGATGAGGTTGCTTTGAAAAAGTCCAGGACACGAGGAGACCCTCTTCCTCCACTTCCTCAAGACAGACCTGCAACTACAGCAGCCCATACAGAACATCCTATTTCACACTCAATATGCAAAAGTATTATATTCATCGATGGCTGCTCCATTTTTAACCACCCAGAGATGAAACCTTAAACTGTGGCACTGCGCATCAAGTGGCGTCATTTGTTTGAGATGAGTATCGCATGCAATATTCATAGCCACCAAACCTCACAATCTACATTAAGCTATTGAGATGGGAAAAAAAACTGGCAAACTGAGAAGCTCATTCATGTGAGCAGTGGCAGGAGACGTCAGACTAATGAAAGTTGAGTGTGCAGCAATCCAGACTGATGCAAACTCACAGATGCAAATCCATTTCATTTGTATTTTACCTGGGCTTGCATGGGCTTCATCGTGATCTGGTAGGTATCCATGGAAACAGCAGCAGGTGACTGCTGAGTGACAGTCACGGGGAACGTTATGGTGTCGACCGAACAATTGCACTGCAGGACCTGGAAGAGGTTGAGGCAGAGATTGACAAATAATGACGGAGGGGAACAAAACATGGCATCTTATATATTATTCAAAACAAAAACAAAAAAACACCTTTGACAGATAAAGGTATTATTGAATGCAACTAGATAGGATAGGATGGACACATATGCCCTGATTTAAGAGTTTAAAAACATATTGATAAAAAAATTATAGCATGCACACAATGAGCTGATCTATTAACACGCACAACTGAGGATTGCGTCTGTCAAATGAGCTGAAGAGATTGTCAGTATTTCTCTTAAAGGAACACTCCGACTTTTTGGGACTTTAGCCTATTCACCTTATCCCCCAGAGTTAGATAAGTCCATACATACCTTTTTCATCTCCGTGCGTGCTATAAGTCTGTTTGACGCACCCACCGCTAGCCTAGCTTAGCACAAAGACTGGATGTAAATGGTTGCAGCTAGCATACTAATCCAAATAAGTGACAAAATAACGCAAACATTTTCCTATTTACATGTTGTGATTTGTATAGTCACAGAGTGTACAAAAAACTAAGTCACATGAGACACAGACATATTTTAACCGTATAAATACTGGGAACTATATTCTCTGAAGGCGAAGCACTGGTACTTGGGCGGAGTGATAACCGCACCACCTGAGACGCGCTCTCTGCTCCTCACCACGGCGCGTCTCAGGTGGTGCGGTTATCACTCCGCCCAAGTACCAGTGCTTCGCCTTCAGAGAATATAGTTCCCAGTATTTATACGGTTAAAATATGTCTGTGTCTCATGTGACTTAGTTTTTTGTACACTCTGTGACTATACAAATCACAACATGTAAATAGGAAAATGTTTGCGTTATTTTGTCACTTATTTGGATTAGTATGCTAGCTGCAACCATTTACATCCAGTCTTTGTGCTAAGCTAGGCTAGCGGTGGGTGCGTCAAACAGACTTATAGCACGCACGGAGATGAAAAAGGTATGTATGGACTTATCTAACTCTGGGGGATAGGGTGAATAGGCTAAAGTCCCAAAAAGTCGGAGTGTTCCTTTAATGGATATGTCATTTGCCTCCATACACATGCAAAATAAAGGGTGTTTTAATGCAAATACATTAAATATGTCATTTTGGATTCGATAACTGTGCACATGCAGTAATGTGATATAAAAATTGTTATTACTGCAATTATTTTAAATGTACACTACCGTTCAAAAGTTTGGGGTCGGTACGATTTTAAATACTTTTAAAATAATTCTCTTCTGCTAACCATGGCTGCGCTTATTTGATTAAAAATACAACAAAAATCAGTTATAGTATTAAATATTATTCCAGTGTAAATCAGCTGTTTTCTGTGTGAATATATAGTAAATATAATATATATAGTAAAGTGTAATTTATTCCTGTGATCAAAGCTATAACAGTCAGTGTTTTCAGTGTCAAATGATCCTTCACAAATCAGTATAATATGAGGATTTGATGCTCAAGAAACATTTATTATTATTATCAATGTTGAAACAGTTGTTGGTCTGTCAGTTGTACCGCTTTTTTGGGGGGATTCTTTGATGAATAGGAAGTTCAAAAGACTTTTGTAACGTTATAAACGTCTTTACTGTCACTTTCGATCAAATTAATTATTCCTTGATAAATAAAAGTATTGATTTCTTTCCTCCAAAAAATAAAAACAAAATTCTCACTGACCCCAAACTTTTGAACGATAGTGTATATATATGTAGAACACAAAATAATAACTGAACTTAATAAATCAAATTTAGTTCTAAATTCACACCATTTAATCACAATTCATATTATATTCAAATTAATATTATTATAGACAAGTCATATTATAAATACATTCAAATTTATATACACTACTGTTCAACGGGTTAGGGTCGGTGAGATTTTTGAAAAAAAGTCTCGTGCTCACCAGGTTTTTTTTTTACCAAAAATACAGTAAAAACTGAAATATTGTGTTACGTCCCTGTGGTCTCGCGCATGTGTGTTTCTTTTGTTTCTCTTTCTCTACTGTCTATCACATTCTTAGGCTTGTGTCACCACTCGCCCGCTGTTGGCTGAGAGAGATGTCAATCACCATCTACGTCGTGACGTCATCTTTCCTCCTGCAGCCTATCGGGTTTTACCACCCGAGTTTAAAAGGAAGCTGAGAGGAGCGCATGTCGGCTTGTTTCTTTCTGTTGCTCTGCTTGTCGCGTTTGTGTTTGTTATTTTCTGTTACAGATATTGTCCTGTTGTTTTTTCTTTCGGCCATGACGGCGTGTTTTGAGATTACCAAGTGTAATGTGTTCTGCCATGACGGCGTGTTTTGAGATTGCCAAGAGTAATGTGTTCTGCCATGATGGCGTGTTTTGAGGTTACCAAGAGAAATTCGGACAGGTAATATGTCACGTGACGTACACAACGCAACACTTAGCAAACTCGATGTATACAAACACCAGGTAAGGAAGTAAACGCCACCCTTGGATGTTTTGTTATTAGTTAGAGCAGTTAGAGAGGGCGCTTTGCGCTTTGTTTTGAAAAATTATTCAAATTTAAAATAACTGTTTTCTAATTAAATAAAATATAATTTATTCCTGTGATGGCAAAGCTGAAATTTCAGCAGCCATTACTCCAGTCTTCAGTGTCACATGATCCTTCAGAAATCATTCTAATATGCTGATTTGTTGCTCAAGAAATATTCCTTTTTATTATCACTGTTGAAAACAATAGTGCTGCTTAATCTTTTACCCAACAATACACCCATTTCAATACATTCCAAAACATCCATTATTGCGTTTATGTGGCATAAGCATTTCGGTTTAAAAACAAGTGGTTTTAAACCAATGAAGCGCAACAAGGAGCTAAAGAAAACTAATTTTGCTATATGCGTGCTGTCTGAGAAGTGTGCATATGAAGCCGCTGCTCATAGTGCGTGAGTGCTGAACTGAGATCTTTTTGCCACTTCATTGGGCTTGAACGGTTAAATACACATGCTTATGTGTCAAAATGCCCGTCTTTTTGCAAGTATCTTTGTAAAACACAGTCATTTATCTCTTAAGTGAACGTAAACAATTGAGAAAGAAAACACATGTGAATAAGTATACTGGATCTGTGAATTTGGTCTTAAAGTAACAGCGGCCTAATATTCCTGCTGCTGTCTGTGTTATTAATGTTAATCAAACAACAAAAGACAGAAAATCTCGCACTGCTCTTGACTGAATCACTTGTCTATCTTTAATGAGAATAAATGTATATTTAATTTATACAGTTAAGACTATGTAGTGTTTCTAGGGCTTGACGTTTTTCAGGTAGGTCTATTTCATTTGTGTCTTTATTCTATTGTAGTTTTTTTGTCCTATTGCTTGTAATCAGTTTATTTGTTCTTATTTTATTACTGACTGTTTACTTGTCTGCAGTAAGCTGTTTTTTTAACTTAGGCTAGTATTACTTTTTTGTGATATTGAAATTGGTGACAAGAATTATAAAGTTTCAATGGTATCAAAAATTGTGATCATAAAACCTTATTTAAAGCAAATATAATTATATTGTGATACATGTCATTTTCGTGAGATAAAATTACTCATATCATGATATAAGATTCACCCCTACACCCTTTTTTTTTTAGATTGCATAAACAAATTAATAACCTTTATTTGGTGTTTTAGTAACTAAGGGCTTACCATGCTGCGTACTGATTGTTCGGTGCAAGTCACACAGTCAATGGACGCAGAAGTTGGGAGCTGAAGACTGTCATCAAAGGTGATTTGAATGGAGCTCTGAACAGAAATGGAGATTGTCAGTTAGATTATTGCACATAAATCAGTGAAGAAAAGGAGTTTCTGGGTGCAATCACTCTTCAGATATATCTCCCAGGCTAAATGTCTGTTTGCATGTTTATATTAAGCAGCTAGATGATAGTCCACCATAAATCTTCACAGCTGCAAAACAGAAATCCCAGCCATTTAGGGATAAAGTAGCATGATAAACAGGCAAAGGAAGCACTGGAATTACATCTGCTTTACTTTCCCCACAATGCATCTCTCGCAATTATATAAAGACAGTGCAACTGAAGGGAAAAGACACAGAAAAAAAAAACAATTTTAATTAAAAGCTGCATAAATCAATGAGCAGTAAAAGTGGGTGGAAATATAAAACAATCTTAATTCCAGCTGAGCTGAGGTTATTCTATCATTTAACAAAGAGTGTGCTCATGTTTGGGACATGATGTACTTAGTTACAGAGATTAATACAAACAACATACATTATGTCTCTTTAAAAACATTGGTCAGTGAATAGCATACTCAGGATATGACATCATTCGGTCCAGGCGAACGTGGCAGACTGCCATGACGACAAGCTGCCAATGTACCTATTTGAGCCAGACTTCCACAGTTTTCAAATAGAGATCATGCAACAAACATTGCATGCCAGAACTCCAGGTAGAAACATACTAATCTAATATATAAGCTTGTAAAACACCCAAATTTAAAGATCATGATGAGAGTAATGGCCTTTCATCACACTAAAAGGAAACCTCTGTCAATGACAGGATATGTCAGCAAGGCAGAAACATTGGCCAAGCAGGATTGGCAAGAGAGGAGTGTGGTATTGGAAATGACGGTGCATAACCACAACACTGTGTGGAGAACACAGACTTCTGCTGTGGCTGTTGCTGTCACTGATGGGCATAGCATGAAAAACTGGACCAGAAAAGCTGTAGCCTTCAAGCATGTGTTGTAAGACTAGATGAGGGGTGTGTAAATAATTATGTTTTTCATCATCACAATTGACAGGACTGATCCTCAGAATAGAGGATGCCATAATGAATCTGACGAGCCTAATGCAGGAGAGAAACGTCATCCAGAAGCTGAAGTTAACAGATACTAGGCTCACATTATCATTAAAAGTACTACAATTTAATATCATAATCTCCCTTATGATACCATGACTTGACCGGTATCCCTTCTTCCATTCGTCGCGAAAAAACTTGAACGAGTTGTTTTCAACCAGATCTATTCCTTTCTTACACAGAACAACCTCCTGAACAACAACCAGTCTGGTTTCAAAAGCAGACACTCAACTGAGACTGTCCTGCTCAGTAATTGAAGCTCTGAGACTGGCAAGAGCAGCTTCCAAATCCTCAGTTCTCATCCTGCTGGATCTGTCTGCTGCCTTTGACACAGTTAACCACCAGATCCTCCTGTCAATTTTAAAGACGAAGGGCATCTCGGGAACCGCACTACAATGGTTCAAGTCTTACCTCCCAGGAAGGTCCTTCAGGGTGTCGTGGAGGGGTGAGGTGTCCAAGACCCAACATCTAGCTACTGGGGTGCCTCAGGGCTCAGTGCTTGGACCACTTTTCTTCTCCATCTACATGACATCACTAGGATCTGTGATTCAGAAACATGGCTTTTCCTATCACTGCTACGCTGATGACACACAACTCTACCTCTCATTCCAGCCTTATGATCCGATGGTTTCTGCTGGTGTCTCAGCCTGCCTGACAGACATTTCTGGCTGGATGAAGGACCACCACCTTCAACTAAACCTTGCGAAGACAGAGTTGCTTGTGGTCCCGGCCAACCCAACACTACACCACAACTTCTCCATTCAGCTAGGTTCGTCATCCATAACTCCATCAAGGTCAGCCAGGAACCTTGGAGTTGTGATTGATGATCAATTGAACTTCACAGACCACATTGCTAGAACTGTTTGGTCCTGCAGATTTGCCTTATACAACATTAGGAGGATCAGGCCCTTCCTATCAGAGCATGCTACACAACTCCTTGTCCAAGCACTTGTTCTATCCAGACTGGACTATTGTAATGCTCTCCTAGCAGGTCTTCCAGCTTGCACTGTCAAACCTCTGCACCTGATCCAAAATGCTGCAGCCAGAGTAGTCTTTAATGAGCCGAAGAGAGCACACGTCACTCCTCTGCTCACAAAATTGCACTGGTAGCCAGTTGCCGCTCGCATCAAATCCAAGTCACTGACTTTTGCCTACAGAACAATCACTGGCTTTGCTCCCTCCTACCTAAACTCATTACTTCAGACTTACGTGCCATCCAGAAACTTACGCTCTGGACTTAACTAACACTAACACTTTATCTTCTATTCTATATCTATTATCCTTATAAAAATAAAAAATAAAGTACATGTACTGCGTTAGATTAAACTGGGAAGGGTCATAGCACTTGCATATTGTTGTCCTATTGTTAGTTTAACTGCTTCTATTGTTCTCATTTGTAAGTCGCTTCGGATAAAAGTGTCTGCTAAATGAATAAATATAAATGTAAACTATAATCGCAAATAATCGCAAAATTAAGGCGTTAAATTTGACAGCTCTACCCATTACACAAAGAATATTTAAAATATTATTTAAAAAAATACACAAATAATATTTACTTTATTATAACTGTTTTAATCTAGCTGGAAAATTGTCAAATTACGCAAAAAGTAGTAAAGTAATATTCACCTAAATTTTTCCATACGTCTCATATTTCATGTTAAGCATGCGCTTCAGTAACCAAGCAGTGATGATGTATCCTGTAAGTTGGCATCATCCTGGTTCCCTTGACAAATAGCCAATTGGATTTTTTCATTGGCCTTTGAATTATTGCAGAAAATAAGTTCTGTGACCAACAAAAGTTTATGATTCTTACACGTTTTGTTCATCAAGATCTTCACAAATGAACACAACTTGCATGAATAATGAAGCCTAAATAATTGCCAGAAGTAAAAAAGCTAAAGCTAGGCTATAACTTTAATGAACTACATCACAGTTGCATGACTTCAACTGCAACACCACCACCACGCAGCTTCTGACAACTCCATCAGTTAGTTTGCAAGGGCGTGAGTGTAAACAATGAGGCTATAAAAGCGGACTAGTGAGTAGATGAGTTTTCGAGAGGGCGTTTTAATATTGCGACAACTTCTGTAGTTCAATTTAGCCACTTGTTAGAAACCACCATCTTTTTCAAGACACATAAAAGATAACAAAAACACACACAAGTATACATTACAGATATATTTTATATCATAGAACGAAAACGTGAAAATATCTTGAGCTTGTGTTAGATCACAAATTTCAGGCTTTTCACCAAAAACCCATTCAAAAAACCAACTGACTTTAGGATTATTCAAAAATGCCTTTTTCCAGGTTTTAGTACTTTTCCTGATTCCTGATACTTTTCCTAATGCCGGACATAGTAAGTTGTGTTATAATAAATAATGAAATGCTTTGTGATTAGGGTGTAATTTTTTTTAATGAACTGATATTTATATGATGATTTCCATATTTTAAAATGGGTCCAATATTTTAAAACTATATGTTGATGGAATTTCACAAGTTCCTTTTTTTATTTCAAAAGAATAAAGAATAAAGGCATGGTTAAACGTTTCTAAGGCATTTTAATGATTTGGCTGTGATTCATGAATGAAGGATAGATGGAATTTGACCAACAACATACTAAACTGGTTTGTAACAGTTGTGGAACTACTGCTAATAGTCCTTAGACTATTAAACTGAAAGTATATGCTCACAGGAGCAAATCCCTTGTGCTAAAGTGTACAGTTCATTTCAGTGCAAAATGAACAAGCTGTAAATACTCGCAGAGAGTAAAGAGTAAAGACAAATGTAAATCTCAGAGAGTAAGAGTTTAAGTGCCTCAGAGCTTTGAAATTAGAGAAGCTCAGCATAACTGACTTAGGTTTCATTCTCTCTCTCTCTCTGTACCTCAGCCAATGGGACAAGAGGACATGTTTGACTGGGTAGCATTTACTGGCTCAGCCTCTGAGCTCTTGGAGAGGAGGAAGAGAAGACGCAAATCCCCTACTGTACTGGCATATGTTCTTTATTTCACGCCCCTTTCTCCATCCTACAAAGAAACACAGACATGATAATGTGTGTATGTTAGTGTGTTCATACAGGCAGCACTGGGTCAGTGTACAAGATTAACATAAAGGTTTAACTATTGCTACCAACTGCAAAACCTAAATAAGTTCATTGCCAAAGCTCATTCAATTTAGTGTAACACCACCACTTTGATTCTTTTTTATGTTCTAGAGACACTGGACCACTTCATTTGCATTATGTTGGTTGACATAATAAGATGCTTTGTATCTCTCCAGTACAACACATAGATTAAAAAAAATGGCTAAACTGTTCAAAAGAAAAATGTTTTTAAATATTTTTGATAAAATTTTGATTCTAATTTTGAATCATTCTTGATGTTAGTGTGAGATTCAAAATAATGATTACATTAACTTGAATGAACAAATGAATAGCATGATTATACCTAATCATACTTGATTAGAATGATTGTAAATAGGTATGTGATATGCTTTTCTTCAGAATTGTCTTTATATGATTGTAGATGCAAGAAAATATCAGAAAAAATAAGTTAAAATACAAAAAATCATTTTGTAATCCATTAGGCCTATACTTTTTGGTAAGGTCAAGTGTATGTGCAATATAACTTAAATTTTGTGTAATTTATAATGATTTTCACTATTGCATATTGCATGCTTAAACATTAAGAAAACAAAGGTTAACCTACATAAATATGTGCTATTATTAGACGCATATGCATATCCAAGTGTTTGTGCAGAGTGTGGAAGCTAAAGTATAGCGCACTTACTGCATGACATGGAGGCTCCGCCGCGATCACTTGCTTTTTTTCCTGATAACAGCGGAAACAACTTAAAATACTTGTCATTTTGGTCATACATATATCGTCAACTTCATCTTTGCAATCTTCTTCATCTAATTAAAATG